TTAATTATTTTTAACACCACCGTTCTTATCATCATCTTAAAATTCTCTTTTCAAGAAATACGTAAAGACTTTGGTCATTTTCATCATCACAAATGTCTCTACTCTCAACATCACCATCACCCTCATCACCCCCACCATCACCATCTTCACCATTATTACTATCACCACCATTATCTTCATCTTCACCATCATCACTACCATCTTCATCATCACCACCATCACCACCATTTCCATCATCCTCTCCATCATCATCACCATCATCACTATCATCTTCATCATCTTCATCCTCACCATCATCTCCATCATCATCACCATAATCTCCACCATCCTCATCATCATTATCATCAGATTTTCTTTTGATGAAATCAAACCTTCCACAATGGTGGTATGGTTTCCACTTGATTACAGCGCAGATTTCATATACCTACTCGATATAGCCTTCCATTTCAGAACCGGTTTTCTAGATGACGGAGTTTGAAATATTTTAATTGATTGATTGGTGATTGATTGGTTGGTGATTGATTGGTGATCAATTGGTTGGTGATTGATTGGTGATTGATTGGTTGACTGGTTGATTGGTTGACTGGTTGAGTGGTTGGTTGCTGGGTTGGCGAGTTGAATGGTTGATTGATTGATTGATTGGTTTTTTGGATGGTTGGTTGGTTGATTGGTTGATTGATTGATCAATCCATTGATTTATTGATTGATTAAAAAACCAAATTAACCTCCAACTTTACCCCATTCACCCTCTCACCCCCTACATCCAGGTGCTACAAACAGACCCGCAAAAAATGCGGCTACACTACTTCAACAGTACAACCTTCTACGTAGACATGCTGTGCTTGCTGCCTCTCGACTTCTTATACCTCAGTCTCGGGTTCAAATCCCTCTTGCGCTCATTCAGATTGGTGAAAGTTTATAGATTCTGGGAGTTTCTAGATAGAACTGAACGTCATACGAACTATCCAAATGTTGTAAGGACGGTTGCACTCTTGCACTATTTGTTTGTAATTTTTCATTGGAATGCCTGCTT